TTTTTTTTTTTTTTTACACCATTTCATTTCTACTACATCTTCAATTTATAACCTAGAAAGTGATCTCAGAAATTTTTTATTCATAGATATTTGACAAATAGGGAAGATAATCTACAATGATTTATTTATCTCCCACTACAATCCATCTGATGTAATTACAAAATCCCTTATTTATTTTTGCAATGTTTATCAAATGATAAAATTTAGATGTAAGGACGAGTAACTAATTATTATGTTTATGGTTAAAGCATTAGCAATTATTTTTAAAGCTTAATTAATGGATTGATTAGTTGTTAAAGCCTTATTTTCTAGCAAGAAAATGCTAATTATGTTACAAAAGAAATAAATTCAACTGATGTTTATATAAATTTATAAATTTTGAAATGGATGCTACCATAAATTATTCATGTCACTTTAGTAGGCTTTCATTAATTCCATCTATGAGCATTTTTTTGTTCTTTTTTTTTGGATTTGAATAGGATTGATTCAAATTTTTTGCACGTTCATTCAAAATAAATTTTAAATTTTGAAAATTTGAACAAGTATTATTTAAAGGAATAAAGGGACACAGTCAGTTAAGATTATTAGCAAAAAACAAAAAACAAAGAAGCATCTGCTAAATTTGATAAATTTTAACTTCTAACATGAATCATGATAAGATCACTCATTCTATCATAAATTATCATTATGAATTGGATAATTTAATTAAGTGATAATTTATTTTATGATGCAAGTATTTTCATGTGATAGCATTAAATACTTCAAAAATTCACGTACAAGAAATGGCTTAATAGGATGATGCTACAATTTAATTTTTAATAGGGATATATTTAAAGATAAAACCGAAATACTTCTAAATCTTGTCCAAATGTTAAACTTCATTAAGTTTTCTTGTCAATTAAATATTGTTTAATTGCTGTATTTTAATGTCAATTGAAATCTCTTTTTTTTTTTTTTTTTTGACCTCAACACTTCATTATTCAACAATTTTTTCTTTCATGACCTTAAAGCTATTACAGCTGTAATTAAGAATCAATCTAATTCGTAGATTTAAAGAGCTTTTCAAATAGTTTTTTTTTTTTAAAAAGTCTATTTTAAAAAAAGAAAAAGTAATTTCAATCAATCAATCAAACATGAATGACCATTTTTTTTTTTTCACTTTAGCTATTTATGTATTTGTTATTATTGCCCAGTTGGTAAGATGATTGTTATTGTGGAATTCCATGAATTATCATATCATATGATCAATTACTACTATCATTTCAATAAAATAATAAAGGATAAAATTTTACAAATCTTTTTTTATTCTTAGAGGATAATATCCTAATTACTATTAGGATGGTTATTAGTTTAATAAATAATTTCAACGATTATGCAATTTTTCAATCATTATGAGAATTGATGAAACACAGTAAATGTCCAATTTTATTCATAAATCAGTACAATATATCCAATTATTCACAATTTACCACCAGGTGAAAAAAGCTGATCGTGTTTGAACCTTTTGTTGATATGCTTCAGGCCATGTTTTTGGTTCAATATTTCGACATTGAGTTTGTGATAATGATATATTGGATGATGATGGATGATCAGTAAGACTTTCCTCACCTAAAATATGACAGATTAAATTTACTATTAAATCTGAAATTAATTTAATTAAAATTGAATTTTTATGCCGTTTTTTAAAACTTTTTACCGCTTATTTATACTTCCGTCTGTTTAAGGCTTACAAGATGTTTAACAGGAAAAAAAAAGACTTCAATTGCCATCTTAGTATAAATTATTATGAACAAAGAATTTCAGAATCTTATTAATTAAGATTCTGAAGAATCCAACAGTACCACAAATTAAAATCAGTATTATCACCCGAATAATTACCACTTATTTCTCACAAATGCCGAAATTAAAAATAGACTTATTCCGTAATTTTCACATGTATCTCACAATCCAGTTATCATCACATAAGGTAAAAGTAATGAAACTAAAATTAACAATCTCATTTAAGATACAGTAATTTTTTGGAATTAACAGCTTCGATAACAATATATCTAATCCAAAATTTCCAGAAATTTTATAGTAATTGATTAAGAACCTCCATCAGTAGTAGTACTCATTGATCGTCTATCACGGGATGACGTACGTAATTGCCGCTTTTTTTTTGGCTTCACTTCTACGATCAGTTGTGGTTGCATCTACAAAATTTATTTTGCAAATATTCATAACCATAAGGATTGGTAATAAATTGATAAACAAATTTGCTCTTAAAAGTTTGAAAATATTTCACCACAAATGAATATTAAAATTTCAATAAATAATCCATACCTGAACCAGTTGTTGTGGTGATTTTCGAAGACGTAAAGCTTCACGAAGATTAAAAATTTGTCCTCTTAAAACACTAAGCTGCAATTCGAACATTTTCTTATCAAAACCTGGATCTTTCTGCAAAATTATCGATCAACTAATTGTTTAGCAGGATTTTTCCGGATCAAAAAATTGAAATCTTTTCAAAACTAAAACAAAACTAATCATATCCATTCAATTTTTAACTTTTCATATAGTAGGGAAAGATTATCTTTTCTTTTTTGCATAAATCCATATCATTTCAATAAATTAATTTTAATTTAAAATGAGTTGTAACTTTCTTTTGCATTTTTCTTTCTTTCATAATAAATCTTTAATTTGTAATTAGAATTTTTGATTAAAAAAAGAATTTTCTTTTTCAATCCGTACAATAGATAACAATAACTTATGAATTCCCAAATAATTTATAAGACCGAAGTAGAAAAAAAAAAGACAAAAACAAAAACATATATAATTTGTGAACTGTTGGTTTCTTATAATTAGTCTAAATTTCTATCTCTAGCTTCTTCTTATACTACGTTATTTTAGCATGTTAAGATATTTGTAATAGATTAATCATTTTATAGATGAGAATTTGTTGGTAAAACTAGATGTATCAATTTCTAATTCGGGTATTTTAACTTACTCAAATAATTTAGGTGGTTAATTTACTAAAATAAAGGGTAAAAAAAAAAAAAAAAACCTAGCCTGAAATAATTTCTTCAAATCATTGCAAAGTTCACGCATGAAATCTGTATTATCTAACTGAGGAAGTACCAATTCAACAATTTCCTCACTGAACGGATTTTTTGCCATCGGTAACCAAGTCCAACGATATGGATCTAATAAAAAAAAAAAATAAAAATAAAACATTTATCTGAAAAAATAGTAAAATTAAATCAACATTTATCACATTTATTTAGTAATATACTATCAATGTTTGATTTCTTTCTTTTTTTTTTTATTTTATCGAGATATGTTAACAAAATGGAAATAAACTTATTTTTTAACAACAAAATTTAAATGATAAAAATAAAAATACTTGATAAATTTTAGAAGCTAGAATATAAAAACGTACATTAAATTGGATTGATATAAAAACACATCATCTGTTTTCATAGAATAAAATAACAAATGCATCCTATTGCTTATTAGAAAATTAAAAAAAAAAAAAAAAGAAAAAGAACTGATAATGGAATCAAAATGATTGATTTCAATCAAAATAATCAATCCTAAAACTTTAGCACATATTGAAAAAGTTAAATTAAAAATTAGTACAGGATAATTCTGATTAAAATTCATGCTTGCCAAACTAATCATATATTTCGTCCATAAGATACAACGTTTATTACAGTGGTTAGTATACGATGTTTTTAGTAAATGGTAATAATCAGAGAAAATTTACATGTACGCCATTCATCGGGATGTTTAATCGGAAAAGCTAATCCATTATCAATTGCGGCTACTTCTATTTTCGGCTTATCCATTTGATCCCAATTTTCCATATCATCACAGTCTAATATATCCATAACAATTTGTTCTGTACCATCTTTTCCATTTCCTGAAAAGTTTTTTTATTTTTCTTTTTTTTTCTTTTTCACCAAAATTTTCGAAACTAATTTAATATATAATGAGCAAAGTATGGTGAAATTTCTTATAATCCAAGAATAAAATTCATCTTTTATGATATCATTAGCAAAAATTATACTTTTATTCACCTTATCAATTTTATCACAATACTTTGATATCATCGTTTGAGTAAGAGCAATTCGAAAAACTTAACAAAAAAAAATATACATATATATATAAAATAAAGTGAAAATTTGCTAAAAAAGAATGATTTAAATGAAATTAACCATTTTCATGATCGATATCACTATGCACAACTTCTTCAGCACTTTCATTAGCAGCTACTTCATCATCCAAAACAACCTGTAATTGATAATAATAATATTTGAAGAAGTAAAAATAATAAAAACTTTGATGGGAAATTTGAAAATTACAGTTAAGTTTTGCGAACAATTAAGTCATACTTTAGAAGGATAATATTGAATGCTTTCAATTATATGCTATAATTGGATTAAAATCTGTAAATCTTCGAAATTTCTCTAACTTCTCAATCTGTATTTTTTTTTTTTTTGCGCATAAACTTCATAAACAATTGAATCTAAACATTTGATCTTTGAAAATAAAGCTTTCGTCAAGAATCTTTCTTTTTTTTTTACTTTTATATCAATATACCCTTTTTTCATATCTATCAAATTCGAAACTCAATATTATATCGTAACTGCAAAAATAATAAAAGCATAGTAATAAGTTAAGCATTGAGTAATTAATAGTTAAAAGATTATCAATAACAATCGAATTATCATAAATAGAATGATCTAAAAGATGGCAGTGTTTTATTCAAATTTTTGCCTTATTTTTGTATTTTTTAAATGAATTTTCCTTGTTCAAAAAGATATTTTTTCCAATCATGATCTACAAATTGAATAAAAATTTTTAATGAAAAGAAGATAAAAAATTACCGCATCTTTTGCTGGAGTAGAATCTTGTGGAATAGCTGTTGGTTCATATTTAATTAACCAGTTATCATTACCACGATCTAAAAATTAATTCGTAAATTTCAGGAAAAAAAAATAACAATTAATTTTTAAAAAATATAAAAAGAAAATGAATATAATTAATACCTGTATTTCGTATAATATAATCTAATACAACCATTCGTTCAAACAAATGTTGAAATCGTTTCATCGCAGCTGAAGATGGTGACATTTCTCGATGCACTTCCCATTGTCGTAACCAATAACTAGCATCTTGATAACCATAAACAAACAATTGAAAACTTCCGATCTGTAATAAGGCGGATTTATTAATCGGTAAAATTAATTACATTTCATTTTTAAATCTTACCATTTATTTGCAATGATATGTAAAGAAAAATTTTATTATATTTGAAAAGAAAAAAGATAGACATTTATTAAAACTAGTACAATTACTTTTTGTTCAAAATAACAAAATCCCTCGAGGGTGATAAAATAAAGCAAATAAGCCAAGCTAAAGCTTTGCTTCCGTCAATAAGATGATTGACTTAGTTTAGTCTAGTTGAAGTGTCACCAACAGGAAAAATGTCTGTTACAAATGAACAATATATCAACCTACTAGGATAACTGCTATGGCTTTTTTATTTATTTGATAGGGAAGAAAAAAAATTTTTTTGCTATATTAAAGTTGGCGCTTTCTGCCCTTTTTTCCATTATTAATACAGTTCAGTTTCAAAATTATTGGATAAAATTAAATTAAAAAAATTATTCAAAATCGAAAGAAAAAAAAAAGGTGTTAACAAGAAAAACGAAATACTACAAAAAAAAAAGAAATTTTGAAATTTAAACGAAATCCCTAATTCCCTATTTTAATCTATTTTCTCAACATTCATCCATAAAAATACCTTTGGTGGTAAACCAATTCGATGAAAACGTTTGCCAATTTCCGGATAACGTGTCCGTATCCGTTGTTTGGTACGTGCTTTAGCACGATCAATACGTCCATAATTAAATGTTGGAGCAGCTAATGCAACAACATTTGTTTGAGGTACAATATTCAATTTTAATTTCTGATCAATAAGTGAAGCGCCAACTTCTGATAAATAACCCTAAAATGTATCAATCATATTCATATATTATTATAAAAAAAAAAAAAAAAAAAGAGAAAGAAGGTGATAATCTGCAAATAACATACCATAAAATATTTCATAACAGTTTAAATTTAAAATCTCAAGAATTTAATTACTACTTTATATCGTATAAAAATATATTATTAGTCACATATTTCTGATATGAACATGATATGATCAAAAATGATTGTAATAATACCAAAACGATAAAATAATTTCAAAATGAAGAAGTTCGAAAATTCGAAATAAATCATTTAAAATACAGTTCAATTGGAAAAAATAAAAATAGCTCACATATGTATTGTTC